GCGCCCAGCCGCGGCCGCCGCGGTGCCGCTCCACGCGCGCTCATTCACCCCGCGCTGCCCATCAGCGTCGGCGAGCTCGGGCGCCGCGTTCTCAGCCTGCTGCTGGCAATCGCAGACTCCCGGGGCCGCCCAGCGCACACCGACAGGCGCGCCAACCCCAGGAAGCGCACCCGCGGGCCAGGGCACGCGCGTGCACACACACGCTCACGTGCACACACAGCAGCCTGCCTCGATAGTGCCCCACGTCATAAAAGCCACTCTGTTAAACTCTCGCTATGAGTAGTATAACTTTGCCTTGTGAGTCCTCACCACAGCCCCGTGAATTTTCCAGATGGACGGATTCAGATCCAGAAAATTGCCCAAGATGGCACAGCTTGACAGAGGCTTGAACTCAGTCTCTCTGCCTGCCCTCTCCACCACCTGGGGGTTTGCAAACAGTTGTGCTGCTGCAGAAGAGCGCCTCCAACACTTCACAGTCCAAGTGCCAAGAGTCATCCCCTGCTGTAACATTTCCTTTTGCCAAAGACATCTTTGAAAAATACAGTTTTAGAAATGTCTGCGGGAAGCCGGGCCTGGTGGCACACGCCTGCAATCCCGGGACTCTGGAGGCTGAGACAGGGGGGTCGCTATGAATTCAAGGCCAACCTGGGCTACACAGTGAGTCCCAGGCCAACGTGAACTACATAGTGAGACCCTGCCTGAAATATTTGCAGTTCCCCACACTGAAGTTTTTCCCTCACAATCAAGACATCCATCCTACTCTCTGCAGAGCACTATGCTGGATGCTCTCTGAGTCTCTTCCCTTATTCTGAGTTACAAGCCAGAGAGAGAAAAATTACTGTCACTGTGTCACATTCCTGGATGTGCCACTAAACGTCCATTCCAGTTATACCTCACTTCTGCTCTGTAAGGTGATGGGGGGCTGCTTATAGTATTACAGAGGCATCTGAGTGCATTGTGTGCCTGTAAGCCCAGCTACTCAAGATGCAGAGGCAGAAAGATACAGAGTTCAAAAACAGAAGAGAAAGATACAGAGTTCAAGGCCAGTTCTTGAGCATGAGAGTGGGGTCCCATTTTAAGAAAAAGAAGAATTACCTAGGGCAGATTCTGCCCAGAGAGCAGACATCACACTTGCCAGGCAGGCGCTGTGCCGCTGAGCTATACCCCCAGCCCCTCACACTTTGCTCATGGTAGCTATTTGATAAGTAAGTGAATGATCCTGGGGCCTATGTGGGCAGTCAGTTGTGTTTCAGAGAGGCATCTGGGACTCGTTTCCCGATCCCAGAACTCCTCCCACACCACTGATATAAGAAGAAATCAGAGTACCAAACAAAACACTGCACAGGGCATCCCCTAATTGTACCACTGAGCCTTGTTATCAGACTCCCCTCACCTCCCACAGCCCATCAGGAGCTGCCTCAAGGCAGCATACAGGGCTCAGTTTCTGGTTGCCTTTCATATACTTAATAAAAGCTCTCCCACTGGAGATATTTTCTTTGAATCCTCCTTGTAGAAAGTCTCATTTCCTGCTAATCGCATTCACTTAAAGACTTCTAAATGGAAAAACTGAAATAAACATCCCCCAGTACATTAAAATAGCAATCCTCCATGACCGAGTAGGGTTATTCCTAGGAATTTCATTTTCAAAAAATATATTGAAATGGGAAGTTAGGGTTCTGGGTTAAGGTGGTAATTGAATGCATCATCCAATTCCACTCTCTCCCAAAACCCCATTAGAACTCCAGTAGAGAGACATTTAAATCAAGAGCTAAAGCTCTAAGGATAGAACGACCAGGAAAGGAAAAAAGGGCAGCAGAATTTCTGAGGCAGGATGCTAGGCAGTCATATGGTGACTGACTTAGCCCTGAGGAAAAAGACCTCTCCAGCAGGCAGGAGACTGGTGTCAACTGGTTTACATGCATGACTCTCAGAAGGCACAGAAACTGGCAGTCCAAGGTGCCTCTGTAACCGTGGACGTGGTGGCTAAAGAGTAAGGTGAAATGTGTTAGATTCCTAATACACAAGCCACGTAAGCAACAGTCCTTCCCATATTCCAGGAAGAGCCTGGAGGTTTTCTTCTGAAGAAGCTAGGACAGAAGGTAATGGGACTTGAGGCTTCTCTCACAGACAGGTTCACACAGTGGTGAGAGCAGGACCTTTGTGCTCCAAGCTGGAGACTGGAAGACTATCATGGGACACTTCACCAGCCCAAGAGGAAAGATCCATAGAAATCGGCATAGGTGCTTCTGCAAATCCAGTCGAGCTAGATCTCTCTATGGAGCTAGATCTCTCTATGGAGCTCTCAGACATCCAGGACACTTTCTAACACAGGAGAGAGACAAAACGAACAATGAAAAGAGTAACACAGAGGAAATAGGTTACATAGAGAGAAAAAAGTCATCACAAAGACTTTACCAGTATCTACAGGGAGGGAGATGATGCTACATCCACGACGAAGTAAGATGCCAGCCATGTGCTGTGGTGCATGCCTGCAACCCAGGTCCCAGGGAGGCTAAGCAGGGAGGACCACAGATTCCAGGCCAGCCTGGGCAACTTGCCTTGTCTCAAAACTAAATAAAAAGAGTCGGCAATGTGTCTCAGTAATAGAGCATGTGCCTAAGTACACAAGGCCCTGGGTTCAATATCCAGTATAAAAAAAAAATTCCATACAAAGAAACATTGAGAGATTCAGAGAACAGCAATAGCAATAATATTTTTGAAAATAAAATCTCAGGGAGATAGATCTTTTGCAGATGGGAAGGGGACAAAACGATGCAGGGAAGAGAATGGAAGCATGAAAAGAATTAAGCTGTGTGAGGTACAGGAACCCACTCCTCATGATGCATGTAATCGTTATGTACTGAAAACATGTATTAATTAAACTCTTTAAATTTATGAAAAGAAAAGAAAATCATGGCAGCGAAACAAAATTTTATAGAAAATCAGAAAAGTTGATTCAGTTCTGCCAGGAAATTTCTAAGAGACAGGAAATATAGGACAGAGAAAGTAAGCACATAAGAGGATAATTCCAGGAGACCAACATCAAAATAATATAAGTTCTAAAAAGAGAAACAAAAGGTCAGAGGAAGTCGTCAATTAACTAATTCAAGTAAATTTTCCAGAACAAAGGGACCTGAGTGGCCAGATTGTAAATTTACCAAGACCCCAGCAATGTGGATGAAAATAAACCCACACCAAAGCATATTAAACGGAAGAATCTAGAAACTTCTAGAAAGAAAAAAGTAATGTACAAAATATCAAACAGAAGAAAGTCTTTGCAATTCCCAACTGCATTACTAGAAGTTAAAAGCAATACTTTCTAATTTTTGAAGAAGATGTCTTTCAACCTGGAATTTTGTTTTTATTTTTTTTGGGTACCAGGAATTGAACTCAGGACCTTGCACTTGCCAGGCAGGCACTTGTGCTGCTGAGCTATATCCTTGGCTCAACCTAGAATTTAAACACACTTAAACTATCAACCGAATAAGTTATATTATATACATTTTCATACTTGGGACACTTACTTCCCACACACAATTTCTGAAAAAGCTACTAGAGAAAGTACGCCACTAAAACCAGGAGTAGAACAGAAGTAGGTGATGCAGATTGCAGGAAACAGAGGTCCGACCCAGGAAAGAGGTAAGGGTGGAAGCTCCGTGGAAGATGATGAAGGAAGACACCAGGATGTCAGCTGTGCACACATGGAGAGGGACATCAATTCAGACTGAAGTGGTGTGACTACTCAGCAGGCAGGCATATTGGCAGCTGTCGTTTCCAAGATTCCTGTCTCCAGGGTACCATCGTTAGGACCTCAGTCAGAATACCTGGCGAGACTGGCCTCCATTCTTACTTGTACTTGCTTTCTCCTGACCAAGAGTTATAAGTTATAAGGCTCTCCTCCATTCCCCGCTGCATGATCAAGAGTTCTGCTCCAATCTGCACCAGAGAGAAGGAGATGAGACCGAGTTCCATAGCAGAAAGCATAGAGCAGCCTGCTGCCCTGACCATAGTCTGTCTAGAATATGTCACAAGCCCTCACTGCAGTGACCTCTGTCTTCCCCAGGACTCTGTCATGACCTTGCCCATTGATCTGCTCAAAAAACCTTGTATACCTTCAAGGAAGCTTTTTTAAAAATGCCACACCAGGACCTCCAGGTGATGTCCAGCATCTCTTCTCCTAGAAATAGGGATCTAGCACCAAACCATCCTTTCCTTTCCTGGCTGTCCTATGCTTGTTTGTCAGTATTGTTTAGCAGTGCACACATATGGGATGAAACCATACAAAGGCAAAAGAAACAGCACCCTAAAAGTGAAAAGAATCATTCCTGGGTAAGGGAAGCAAGAATGGAGTAATTATGATAAAGGATGGCAACTCTATGAGACTGATCTTGGTGCTTGCTTGTTTGTTTGTTTGTTTTTTGAGACAGGGTCTCACTTTGTAGCACAGGCTAGCCTTGAACTCACTGTGCAGCTCAGGCTGGCCTCGAACTCACAATGATCCTCCTGCCTCAGCCTCCTGAATGCTGGTATCACAGACTTAATTTATATGCTGGATACATGGGTGTCCATTTTCTTATTTTTTGAAATGTATGTATATATACTTGTTATCTTTTTGTACCTACAATTTTATACTCTCTTTTGAATATAT